AAATAACCACAACTAGGGAATAAAGGCAATTAAATACAATGAATATATGAAGTTCATATATTTTGAACTGCGGTATTAGATACGTACGGATGCACGATCCTCGCAGTAGAGAGCGCTATTTATGCAATAGCGAAAATCAGACCTGAAAAAAGTCAGGCCTGTACGGGATTCGAACCACTGACCTCTGCGATACTTGTGCAGCGCTCTACTAATTGAGCTAACAAGCCAACTGGGAACAGGCCGTTAAGTTGATTCGTAATAAACCCGTGATGATAAATCAGATACAATGANTGTATCTGATTTATCATCACGGGTTTATTACGAATCAACTTAACGGCCTGCTCCCAGTTGGCTTGTTAGCTCAATTGGTAGAGCGCTGCACTAGTATCGCAGAGGTCAGTGGTTCGAATCCCGTACAGGCCTGACTTTTTTCAGGTCTGATTTTCGCTATTGCATAAATAGCGCTCTCTACTGCGAGGATCGTGCATCATACGTAAAGGCAATTAAGGAGACTTACCACTTCATATTCATCCCGTTTAGTATCCTTTCTATTTTTTCCCTATCTCTTCTACAAAGTATTTGCTCGCAAATAGAATTTTTATGCCTTCTCTCTTTGACCCGGTTTTATTTCACAATCAAGGGGGACTGGGTTTGGGTCAGGGGTCAATGGCCATTACGGTTGACCCCCTCTGAAGGTTTTTACAAGTCACAGTAACTCCCTAGCCATGTGCTCATCATTCGCCTCGATTACTCGGAGTGAGAAGCTGTTTTTTGACTCCCTCCTCCTCCCCCTGATCCGCCCACTTTCTCTTGTTGTATACTTAGTGTTGGTGCGTTTTTCTTGGCCCTCGCCTTTACTGGGCAAACACCTTAACGGAATTCATTCTTGTTCTGTTTGTTTCAATAAAAGCGGCTATGGACCTATTGTCCATAGCCATATTGCTCCAATTTAAGTTTGTCATTTCTTTTGGTGCCCAGCAAACAGAGCTCAGGCAAGAGCAGCATTTGTAGATTTGTTTTGGGTAGAGAGATAAAGCATAAATAATTTTCCTTTTATGACGGCACACACGCTTAAAATTCAAACTTAATATGTAAGATATTCCCATTAATGACCTTTAGATCCCAAAACCACACACAGTACGCCTGGGCTGCCTGTGCTATGATTCGTGCACTCATAGTTTAAAACACGAGGGGATACCCCCATCCAAAATGTACTGGGTATCCCTTCTCTTAAATAATATTTTAGCATTTCCTAGGGTACAGATATATGCATAATCATGTAGTTGCAATATAGAAGGGGGAAAAGAGGTTACTCAACCTCAATTGTTCAACCTGCATTTTGAAGAGGAGGGGCCATCCGTATCCGAGTGATCTAAGTATCCCTTGCAGTTCTGACAGTATGAAATACTGATACTTCCCAATCGGCGTGGCATGCACTCTCAGCAACCTAAATGCTTTGATTCAAACGATTAATCTGAAAAATAAGTTAAGAATTTCCGTTCCGCTTGACTCCGATCTCTGCTGACAACTTTTCCTGGAGGTTTCTCGGACATAAGTGAACCATGCCACTACTCAAAAAGAACTATCATTACGATGTTAAATTGACCTGACTATACCAAAGGAGATCGCTGAGTCGATGCTGAAAACCTGATATCAACGGACGTTCTTAATTCCAAAAGGAAATTTGCTTAAAGCAATTTCTAGAAAAAGAGAAGACGTGGTCTGCTTTATTTTACAAACCATTAAGTTAAGTTGCTTCCATATAAGGGAACTGGGAAACTGCCGTAGAAACTCATAAAATATAATGAATGTGAGGACATAACACGTATTACCAAGAGAGAGCAAAATTTAGAATTAGTGCAAAGAGGATTTTTTTATCAGATTTCAAATCTATATTTTTACAAAAAAAGGGACAAACTAAAGTTGCAGCCCAACATCGTCCATCAATGGTAGAGCCAAAGTGATAGAACGATGGACGCTGCAGCGCTGGGCTGAGTCACTGGGTCGCTATCATTCATGGTAAGATCGTGGACAGCAACAGCAGAAGAAAGAAAATAAGCTTAGTGAATGCTTGACATTTTCCTGTCCTCTCTACAAACCAAACAGATTTTTCTGAAACTGAATATTTTTGCATGAATTATCATATCTTTTGAACGATGATGTACTGTTCATTGACAGACGCGTCTAATTGATAGAGAGATGATAGAGATCGGATGAAAATAATTACACGTTCCTGGTCTTAATTAATGTCCTAATCCTCCTCTGCTTCTCATTACTGCGACGATTAATTTGTAAAACATAAAAACACATGCTGCTGTTTTGTTGATAAGTGGCAGGACGTCTACGAGAAAACTTTTAATTTGGATGATAAAATTTTTAACGGCTCCTGGTTAAAAGTTGAAAGGAGTTCACGCAGATCACATAAATGACCACATTCATGGCTCAAAAGGCATGAATTTGATTCCCATTCAGTCAGTGGAAAAATTGATGCAAATAAAAGCAGGTATGAATGTTTTGGGGACAGTAAACGGTACTCATCAGGTTCCACAAGGAAACGTGACTGATTCTAGATTTGAACTATTTCAGGGATATTTTTGGCCTGGGAATGAAAATAAATACGGTTGTAACAATACTGGAGATCATCTATTAGAGTTTAACCATTGTTTTTCTTGAACGAACAAGATGAATGTGAGCTGCCAGTTTGGTGCAAGCCGGCTAAGACCTATGCAAATTTTTGCGTTTTAGCGAACAAGCGGCAGAAACCAGATGGCCTGCACGAAGTCGATTTTTTTAACCAATTGCCATAAAAGCCTTCCTTAAAATCTCTCTAATTGAACATTTCCTCGTCAGAGCCGTTACACAACCTCGGGTACCGTGATAACTGATTCTTCAGTACGTCACGGACCATGAAATTAACAGACTAACATGTAACCACAGGGCGCCCACAGAAGCGGCGTGTCTGGTCGTTTGTTCGAACAGAGTTAATAGAGTTAACTCTGGTTCGAAATATAAAGAAATGTATGGGAGAATATTAGAGTCCTAATATCGTAAACTTATATCAAAAAATGTCTATGTTAAAGCTCAAAATAAATGTAAACCTACCTCACTTGCCGTGTATTGTCGTTTCTGTGGTTCTAAATGGCGAATTTGAGTGGCTGGAAAGCTCATTTTCGACCGCTCCGCTTTGGAAGCCGATTTTCACCCAGAAGTTAGAATTGCCCGGCTTCCAAATCGAACACCAGATAAACCAAAAGATTGACGCTTCTTCTCGTGTCATTCAATCGAAGATCCTTTTAAAATCCAAGCGCTAACCGCCAAAAAACTTCGAGAAATCCAGCTTTCCAAGCGATTGGCATCCACGGCACAGATTTGGTGTGCCACAGAGCACCCACACTAGGGGCGTGTCTGGTCGTTTGTTCGAAATATAAAGAAATGTATGGGAGAATATTGAAGAGTCGTGATATCGTAAACTTATAGCAAGGAATGTCTATGTTAAGGCTTAAGAAGGAGACGGTAGAGTAACACTTATACAGTAGAGTAACGGTCAACGCAAAATCTAACCAAATCGCTCAAATTCGTCATTTAGAACCACAGAAACGACAATACACGGTAAGTGAGGTAGGTTTACATTTATTTTGTGCCTTAACATAGACATTCCTTGATATAAGTTTACGATATCACGACTCTTCAATATTCTCCCATACATTTCTTTATATTTCGAACAAACGGCCAGACACGCCGCTTGTGTGGGTCTCCCTGTGCTTTCGTTGGTTGCCCTGTGATCATGAACAAAATGCACCAGACCATACTGCATAGCCAGAGCGAAACCAGATGGTGTGTAACGTTGGGACTCCCACGCGTGGCAACTTGGCAACTAAGGAGGCTAATACAAACTCTGAGGAACACCCTGGTGAAAAAGTACTCTCACGTAATTTCAAACCTGTTGCCCCCCATAAACAGTTCATGATCAAACGGAAGCCTTAAAGGAAATAAGTGATAATAAAATAAAATGATTATTTTACTGTCTCAGAAAGGTAATTATGTCACCTTCACAATTATTTAGTACCTATCTGTTTTCTTTTATACATGAGTTGATATCAGACATATATTTACTAGCTGATAAAACCAAAACACACAAGTTGCAAGTATATTTTACATTTTTATGTTAGTGTTGTCATTTACAACAGTGGGTAATTATATATTTTGCCATTTCAAGTAGGATTCCTCTAAAATGCAAATCTTAATAAAAGGTTGATAGTATTTGGCTGTTTTTTTTTTCTTTTTCTCACAATATTAAAAGCACACGTCAAATGTTTTAGATAGGCTGTGATCATAGATTGTTTGATTTGAATGTACTCCATATAAATTGGATTTAATCAAGAACTAAACAGTTCAAAGGGCTATTATTTTGCACTATATTTCAACAGACAGTGACTGTAATAGTTCACCTCTTAGTCATAGCCCAATACATTTCTTTGCATAAACACATATTAAATAAATAAAGGCTGATAGTTTCAAAAGAAAGTGTTTGGGGCTGCATCAGTGGGAGTAACGAAATAATTTGGATTTATCAACAAAGTTGAAATGGTAAATTGGCCACCGTAACGATTACAAAAGCTGACGTTTCGAGCGTTAGCCCTTCGTCGGAGCGAATATTAAAATATGAAACAAGACTATGCACTGCTAATGATGGATGGTACTACGAAATTTTGTCCATGGTCTGTTAACTCTTTGGTTAATTGACAACAGCTTGGATGGATGACAAGGTTTCCTTGGTACCTCAATTCCCTGAGTGATTACATTGTTTACAGTACCTTAACCTTTTGAACCCTCGGACTGACTAGCATCTAATTTCTCCTTACAATATCAGCCCTAAATCACACCTGAAGGTCACGAGAATAATGCTAATGATCCCCAACTAAACAAGCTCTTGATTGCTAAACAACTTCTCCTTGTCAGCACCTAAGGTAATACACAGAGAACAATATGGAGAATATGCATTCTGACCTTAACTGAAGATATTGTTTATTAAGTTTGGCCATCCTATAAAATTATTTCAAATTCTATTCACACATGCTACCTATTCCTGGGACTATTGCCAGGTGATTTGCTTCCTCCTGATCCTGAGCTGTCCAACTTTGGAAGCTTCCGTACAGCTGCTACCTTCTTCACAGGGCCTCTCTTTGGATCAATTATCCTTTGATTGTCTGGCAGGCCAAAGTGATTAGGATGTCTGGAAAATGAGAAATTAGTAGATGAGGAAATATGGAAATAGACAACAACAGACTACAGAACTTATGCATATATGTGACCTATAAGTTAAAAACCAAGAAATTGACATTTCAATATCTTTTGTGCTTGAAATTACAACTTCCTGTGTTGGCCCTCAATAACAAGTGAAAATGAAATCCCTGTCTTCAAATACATTAAATGATTTTCTTATTTTGCAACATAAAAAGATACTCAGTCTGACAAAGATTCAAAAATGACTTCCAAACAAATAAGCAAATTTAGCAAACTGGTCTCCACTGTATACAGTTGTCTCAAAGTGTTTTGTATCATCAATACTAGCCAAACCTCAATTTTGCATTGTTCAACTGAGCTTCATTCTCTCTCTGAGCTTCATGAAGTGCTTGTCTTGTTTTCGTTTTAGTGTCATCAATGAATGCAGCAGTCTGAGATACAAATAAAGTAACATAAAGATGGCGAATACCACAAAAAAGGTCTTCCTCTGTTCCTACAAAAAAATATGCTATTTGAAAGACCATTCACTTTCAGTTCACAGTGGCCCACATCATTAGGATTTATTCCACAATCCACAGAACAAAGTGACCAGGGGTATTGCAGCTACTTTGCCAGAATGAGATGACAGTCCACTGCAGGGAAAGAAACCTTTCTGTTGATATCTTCTTGAATAAAGCAGATTATTACTTCATGACCAGCAAAGGTATATGCCTTGGTTAAATATAATTACAAGTGAGGATCACGTTCAACAGCTAACTTACCTCATCAAGTTCAGTTAGGTACTTCTTTCTCTCTTCATTAATCTTGTGGTAAGCCTGATTAAAATATTTATTAAGAAGTATTATTCCTTAATCTATTTTGTACCATTCATACAAAGGTAAACATAACATAAGGAGTAGAATTCCTTCCCTTATCCCTTATCATCCCTAACAGAATAAATAAAAAACATTCTGTTAATCATGAATATACATCACTACAAATAGTAATGTGAAGCTCAGGGCTTGACACTAATGGTAGCCAACTAGTCACAGACTAGTACTAACTCAGTTTTGGCTACTGGTTTTCAATTTCCACCAGCCAGTTTGGCTAGTAAACAAACTGAAATTGTTGTAACATCTCAGATGTCACTGGCCCCTTGGCTGGTAAGTTGAAAAGTTGGTATCTGGCCCTAAAGCTGTAGCATGCATTTTGATACCTTAGATTCGTTGTCTAGACGCCATTCCAGGTCTCGTAGCTGACCTTGCAACTCAGTTTTGTCTCTCTCCAGTTGTTTCATTAGTTTTCTTATTTCTGCCTGGTGATCAAAATATAAGAATAGAATTGCTTTGTTATAAATCAGTGCAATCTAGGTTATACAACTTGAATCGACAAAAGAAATAAAACTATATCTCATTAAAGTGGCTCATGCATAAAAAAAAATCATAAAAAAGATGTACATCAATTAAGAATAAATAAAGAACATCTACAGAAAAAAAATTACATTTCTCAACTTACATCTGATAGACCATTATATGTTTTGAGATGATTACTTGGTTTTCCTTTAAAAAAAACGTACCGTAAACACAAGAGAACACCAGTTGAAATAAAAGAAAAACTACATTGAAGACAAATTTATTTATTAGTATTTGACCCAGAATGTTTTCTTAAATGAGGTAAGTATAGCATTAGCTCATGCACTGAAGGAAGATGATTCCTAAACTGACCATGAAAACACAGCTTAGTCAAAGAAATCATCCTTAGACAATCTGGCAACCAGCCACTCTACAGCTGACACAGCACCTCTCCCACCACATGTTTGTTGCATTACAGATCTCAAAGGCCGAAAGATCCTTAACCTTGTGGCCCCCCTAAGAGTGACTAACATCTAACTTCTCCTAACAATATCATCCCTGAATCAAACATTAAAGGTAATGAGATTGAAGGAGATGATCACCAACTAAAGAAGCTCTTGATTGTGCAACAAATTCTCCTTGTCAGCACCTTAGGAAATGTGCAGAGAACAGTATGGAGAATATGCATACTGATGTTACTGTGTAAAGGGTTAACAAGAGCCTATATTGCTCTTTCTGAACTACAAGGTCACCTAGAGACAATATAAAATAATTCTCCTTGGTGGATTGCTACTGCATTGCACTTTGCTTCCTGACATTTTGTTAGATTTCTCTAACAGTTTTCTGGTACCCTTGTGGCTGAAATTAGCCCCTATGGGGTAGCTTCATTTAACGTATTTATTCATTTATTATTATTTTCTTAGACAGAGAGGCATCTGAGAGTATGAGTCTTACCAAAGAACATAACAGACCAATGCATCTCCCATGTTATATTATATTACCGAGATAGCCAGCTCTCTACTTAAGGAGACTTAATATAGGTGTATTGGTCAACTAATATTTTTATATATATTGACTGTACCATCTCGAGATGGAATCTTTAGCTGGCCAAGTTTGTCCCTTAATAGCACAACTTGTTTCTCAAGCTGGTTGTTCATTTCTTGCTGGGTTTCAAATCGTGTCTTCCATTCGTTATCTACAAAAGGCAAAGCAGCAGTAAAATTTCTATAAAACAAACTTTTTTTCAAGACTTCTTGTTGTTGATAAATGAAAACGGAAGATCGAAACGTGACCACTTTGATAAACAGTTGTTTTAAATTTACCTTCGCCTTCTACATTTTCGTTTTTCTCTTCCAGATCGCTGATGGTATTCTCCAATTCAACAGAAGACTGTTCTAGCATCTCCCTACCAAGAAAGAATGCATTGGTCATAGATAAGGGAGCATTCTTCCTTACAACAATATTGAGACCCAAGTCAGATCTCTGATTGACAACCAGTCATTCGATTAGTCGAAGATAATTTACAAAGAGCTGGAGTGTGCCAAAATGGCAATTTGATTACGTTGCACAGCGCTTTAACGGTGAATCATGCGGAATTGCTCCTCGAAAAAAGACGTGAAAAAGAAATGCAGAGCGAGTAGTGCATATTATAAGTTACTCAGCTGATAAAAAACATCACTCATTATTGTAAAACCTGAAGGAGATTCCATGAGACTGAAAACTTCATTAACTTTAACAGCGATGTTGCTTAGTGACTTAAAATAAATTTTAAAATGGAAATAAATGATGCGTCACCATGTTAATAGAATGAGTCCCGCACAAAAAGGTAACACCACTTAAACTGCGGCAAAAATGAGGTAAAATAAATGTTCATTAAGCTTCGACTTCGACTTACTTCATTTGTCGTTCTTGTTGTATTTCTGCTTTTAGTCGTTCGATTTCGTAGTCTAACTCCGTTCTTGGTCCGTCTTGATGTTGCTGTGGCTTTGGGCCACGCGGATTACTCATTGTAAAACCTTTCTTTGACTTTTTAGATTGTTTATGAAGTTTTTTCTTGTTATCTACTCTCTCTTTGGTTTTCGTGGTCGGAGTTACCGGACTTATGTCGGTAAATCTTCGGACACGGCGCATGTCTGGTTTCTATGGTTACGACATCAACTGAAAATCTGGTGATCGATACAGGATTGCTAAACTGGAAAACGAAAGACTGCCTTGTAAAATATAGTTTGAAGATCTTTCCTCCATTAACTGGCAGTCGCGCTTAAATTAAAAAGTTACATTCGTAAATCATAGTCAATAATCGAATTAACGTTTCATTAACACCCCATAAATTACGAGCGACGTCACAACGAAAATGAGTGAGTAAAGATTTAAATTGGGTGCCAGGGATCAATTATCTTGAAGAGTCGCACATAACATCGAGCGAGGAATGCTATTAAATGTCTTTCTAGAGTAAGAACTCTTCAAATGATAATTCCCAAATGTCTGATAATCAAGAGCAAAAACCAGAAGTGGGGCAAGATGATAAAACGAAAACCGAAGCTTCATCTGGCAGATCTGTGAAATCTGAAAAACCGGAATCGACTTCCAACCGCGCAGAAAACCCACTTGCTGGAGTGACTGCGCTTCTAGAACGATATGGCTACCAATTGGGAGATATTCTTGGAAAAGGATCTTATGCGGTGGTAAGGAAGGCCTATTCAAGAAGGCACAAAAAATACGTCGCTGTTAAAATCATATGCAAGAAGAAAGCGCCCGAAGATTTTTTATCCAAATTTCTGCCTCGAGAGATCAAGGTTCTTAAGAGACTCCGCCATCCTCACGTTCTTTCACTGATAGAGGTCATAGAGACGAACACAAGGATGTACATTATAACAGATCTGGCGGAAAGTGGTGATCTCTTAGAGTTCATTCGAAAAAACGGTGCGATGTCAGAGGCAAAGGCAAAACAATTGTTCAAACAACTGGTCCTGGGGATAACCTATATTCATAGTCAAGATGTGGTGCATAGAGATCTTAAATGTGAAAATCTGTTGCTGGATAAAGAAAAGAACCTTGTTGTATCAGATTTTGGATTTGCGCGCGATAATTTGACCTCGGCTGCGGGAAAGAAAAAGCTCTGTCATACCTATTGTGGTTCTTACGCCTATGCGCCACCAGAAATACTTAAAGGTGAGTTTCTCCTATCCCTTTTCTATAATTTTTTTTTTAATTCCCCTCTTGCACCTGAAATAGAGCTATGACCAGCATTCCGGATCGCCCTGCTTCATAGAGTGTCCGACAACAAAATACTTTCTCAATGCGCACTCCTATCTCAAGCGAAGTGTATTACAGCATATTCTTTTTACATGAAATGAGTTATTTTATTTCAGTCGACTTTCATATTCAACAAATCTGATCTTTTACACGAGTTAAATAAGATAGGGGAGACCATTTTTATAGGAGACTGGACCCGAGTGCGGGATATATGAAGAGAATTTTGTGATCTGATTTGTTACCAGAGTGGGAATGGTGGGCCCTCGGGATTGTCCTACCTATCCCGCAAGAACAGTGAAAATATATAGTGCCCATTGTCACTTTCCATTTTTCTTAGCTTCTAAACAACTTTATTTTCTTTAAAGAAAACGTTTTTCGGTGGTTTTGGATATTACGGACCCTTTCCACCCTGACATCAGTGTGTCTATCACCCATATCGTTCTCTAGCCACAGACTAGTAGAAATTCAGTTTTGGCTAGTGGTTTTCGATTTCCACCGGCCAGTTTGGCTAGTAAACAAACTGAAATTGTTGTAACATTTAAGATGTCTCTAGCCACTTGGCTAGTAAGTCGAAAAGTTACTGTCAAACCCTGTATACATTTCTTGAGGTGCAGTTGCAAGGAGAATTCTTCAATGATCAAGACCTTCTTTAGTTGTTGATCATTTCCTTTACTCTTGTTATCTTAAGGCATGATTCACGGATGATCTTGTAAGGAGAAACTAGATGCTGGTCATTTGTAGGGTCAGTTAAAGGGGTTAAACTATCAGAGGAAGGAAACTCGTGCATTCATTAAGCAATTCTTCTTTGTCCCCTTAGGTATAGCTTATGACGCCACTTTAGCAGATGTATGGAGCATGGGCGTGATTCTGTACACCATGGTTTGTGGTCGACTGCCGTTCGATGATTCCAACCTTCGGAGTCTGCTGCAACAAGTTCACCACAAAGTCAACTTTCCTTCAAAGGTTAAACTTGCTGAGCCAGTCAAAGCCATCATCCACAAAATGCTGCAGTGGAATTTAACCGAGCGAGCAACAGTGGAACAACTTAAAACTGACCCATGGCTGACCGAAGAGATGATGGGAGGCGAGCTCGAGATAGCCTCGTCAAAAAATTGAGGCAATTAACGTACCAAGATCAGAAAGGCATAGTTGCGTCCCTTTGTCTCTAGACTATGACCATGAAAAACCTAATTTAGCGTCAGTGGCGTTTAGTAAATGGAGTGACTATTCTTTGAGGTTAAGCACCCCAGAAACAAAACAAGCAGTAATCAATGGATATCATTGGAGATTATTTATTGATCTTCTATCCCAGATGAGCTTTTAATTTACCCATTTCTGGTTCATTGTTTGAAAAAGCGTCCGACTTAAAGGTAGCAGTCTCCATGCAGTTCAGACGGTCAAAATTTGAATCAAGGACAAAGTTTGATGTATAATTCACAACAACCGGGTGAACTAGGAATTCAAAAGGCTCTGAACGAGCATCGGATGAAGAACTAATGTCATGTAACGAACTTCATTATATCGGCAATAAACAATCATCTCAGGAATGATTTAACTGTCATTATCTTTGATTATCTTTCAGTAACTGTTAACATCAAATTCTTGATCATCCGTAGAAAATTCTTTTGGTTTTTCTTTTAACGCTTGAATGGTACCATTCTCTGTGATGTTAGAGATCTCTTGCGTGCTAAGAGGTCTTTCTTTGTCCTTCTCGTCTTTACCATTTTTTTCTTTAATTATGTCGCTTTTGAAATTTTCCGTTGTGTTGACATCACTTGTATTATTTTGTAATTCTTTAGCTAAATCGCTTCCTGGAATTTCGAATTCACCTCCGGCTAGTTCCAGTCTCTCCTCGTCCTCGATCGCAGCTTCTTCCTCGTGTTCCTCATCATGCATTGCAGGCTCAGCGTACACAGGTACGAGGCGCGTAAAAACCTGTAATCTGTGATTCTTCGTATCCGCTACAATTATATTTCCTGCGGTATCAAGGGCAATATCATACGGGGTATCAAGACATCCCGGATCCAAACCGATCGTTCCGAACGACCCAAGGGGCTCACCTGACAAAGTAATTGCCTGGATTCTATGATTTCGACTGTCTGCTACGAAAATATTGTTATTATGATCAAGTGCGACCCCTCTTGGGCAAGCAAACTTTCCCGCTCCCACCCCCTGCACACCAATAGTTGTACTCTCCCCCAGGCTCTCTTGGCTGAAGATTTTCAGGCGATGATTTTCGTATTCCGACACAATGACATCACCGTTTCTTTTAACTGTAATGCCCATGGGGCAATGCAGGTCATGAAGTCCTCCAATGAAACAAAGGAAACTCCCATTAAAAGTGAATTTTTGAATTCTGTGGTTTGCTTTATCAGCTGCGTAGATATTTCCTTGAATGTCAAATGCCACTGCGCTAAGCTCCGGTCGTTTGTCATTCTTGCTGTAGATAGGCAAAACTGGACGAAGAAGTTCACCTAAAAGAGATGAGGGATATATTTTTATTAAAAACTGGATCATTGGATAATGCAAGTCAAGACCTTTTATTGGCTTAGCCATTATGGTATATGAGCTACAAAGATGGTCAGCGTACGCGTCAGCTTAAAATTAAAAGGGAGCTAAAAAATTTAATAAAATTTAATAATTTAATTTAACGTTAATAATAAAACAATTATTCTACTCGCGCTTGTTGAATATGAGAAGATTATCGCCAACTTAGCGCTACGCGCCTCGTTGGCTATCTATCATCTCATATCCAACGCGCGCTCGTGGAATAATTGTTAAATATATCAGTAGAGGAAAACGGTCATAGTTTTTCTGAACAAAACTGATTAAGTTTCCAAAGAAACTATCGTGCCGCGTCAGTAAGGGCATAAATGAATCAATTTGGTTTTGTTAACTGAGTTGATAAAGCAAAATTGGCCACCGCAAAGAGTTTATGAAGCTGAGGTTTCGAGTTTAGTTTAGTTTAGTTTAATTCATTCGCCACAGAAATGGCAGGAGAAAGGAACAGAACTTTCGTTTCAATTGACACCTAACCCCTTTTTTACCCACCCATTCCACCCCGGGGAGGACATCCATCATACAGTAATCTCGTGTGTGGGAAATTAGTGTTAGTACTTCGTCATTCTGCCTCTTTGGAGGCGTCCTCCTTCAACCTCGTTCCCAGGGCCTTTTGCCTTAGATGGGGATGGGGCGCTCCACCCCCAACTAAGGGAAAAGGCCTTGGGAACGAGGTTGCTCCTCCTTGGCGGTAACGTGGTGGGTATGGTATTTTTTGCCTAACGATCAAACACACTGCTCTCTGTCTCTTTCGCTCTTCGTCGGAAAATGGAAACACAATGGCTTATGGGGCCAAGGCAGACAATGAAACGACAAGAAAAAGATTCACTTATAACTTAGGACTGACCATGTCTCCAAACGGACGTCCGTGTTACCACTAATTACCAATATCTTAAAGGGGCGTTTCTGATTGGTTTTGAAAGTTTGTAGGGAAGCAAGAGGAATAACAATAGCTTATTGTAGTGTTTCTCCCTATTTGGATTAATACCTCGGCTACAAGATGGTATTTATTTTGTTGGTTATCACATCCTTGACCACATTCACGCGATTATCCTTATATTATAGTATTTAATTGAGTTCATCAGTTTCCAATGAAGCAGTTATGTAGAGCACTTGGTCTGATTCATGCATTACTCCATAGTAGCATATCGAACTCTTATACTCAACACTTATCCTACCTGTTTTGCTAAACACGCGTAATATCTGTGAGTCAGTCATCACCAGATCTCCTCGCAGACTGACTGCCAAGGCGATTGGTCGGCTTTTCCCGCCCAGAATTAATGGCTCCCGCGCAATGTCACCGCTCACGTCTAGAATTTGAATACGCCCGTTGCCATAATCAGCGACGTAAATATATCCTTGAGTTCGGTCGACAGCCACGCTAGTGGGAGACTGGAACTGAGGAGGATATACGCGTTTCCCTTTTCGACCAATCACATTTGATTCTCGTTCAGAAATTTCGCCGTAGTCCAGAACCTATTTGAGACAACGTAAATATATAATGTATGATGAAAATGTGTTAGGATTGAAAAACATGTTCTCACGGATGCCTGTATTTAGAGGAGCATGGTGACGACCCGGACATACGCATTGGGTATCTCGCAGGTATCCTCTCTAGCCAATTATCATACTGTCCGCCATATTGGACTTGGAAAGAGAGAATCTCAATCTGCTGCTTGTTTCTTTAGTGGTCGTCTTTGAAACGGCGACGTAGAAAAAGAGATACACGGAGCTAGACGATATACAGAGAGAGGAGAGAGGAGTGGGTACAAACAATAGAAAATGATAACTGTTGTCTTCCTCCTTTTTTCCGTAGGTTCCTTCGCGTCCTTGCTGACGCGTCACGGTGCTTAGAGAAGAAATTGTTACCAATGCTAAGAATAACCATGCACGTTGCCCGAAGAACGTATTCCGATCGAACGCCTTATTTGGTCATTCGAATTTTAGAGAATCAAAGAATCCCTTTCAATACAATGATTATGATAAAATTCATAGTATTGTCGGGAAATTTAAAGCTACCCTAGATCTACACAAGAGAGGGTAAGCTTAAAAAATGAATGAGTTTCTTATAAGCATAGGGTCCCTGATACCACTTCCCAAGTTATGTCAGACTTCACCACGACGCATCTATTCTCGTGGCAGAAATGTCACACAAACTGCACGCATTGCTTGGTGGACATTTCAAAATGAATGCAACTTTACACCACCTACCTTATATTCCAGTCTCCTTGTCAAGTGTGCCGTCTCATTCACTGCGTTACCACGGTTACCATTCAAGGGACACTGACACGCTCTAGTCGCTGGTCTTGAGAAAGGTGTCAGCGGTTTCATTCGTCGTGTATCTTCCAATTCAAGCGAAAGACTCTCGAGCTTTTCTTGTAAATCCGCCAAAGATCGTTGATTTTTCCTGGTGCTTTGCTTGAGAGCGCGTACTTGCATCAAAGAGTCGTGAATGTTATCCTCTAGAACAATTAAGTCTTGTGTTTTGTGTCTGATCTCTACATGAGTAGTCCTTATCAAGTCCAGAGCATTCTGATGTTTTGCGATGAGCTCATCCTCCTCTCTTTTTGTCTTTTCGTATTCCTCTTGCTTCTCCTTTAGTTCTTTTTTAATCGTCGAACTGCTGTGGTTTTCGTCCAATTTCTGTTTGATTTTGTCCACTTCAACTTGTTTCTTTTTCAAGAAGAATCGAACCGTTTCTAATTTTCTTTCAAATGATTCTATATCACTCTCGTACTTGACTATCTTGCTTTTCAAATTTTGAATTGTCTCCTCAAGGATGACCATACTTTCGTTGTTTGCCAGGATTTGTACCTCAAATTCTTTGATCTGATTGGAGATTTCTACATCTGCGTCCTCGCACGTTCTTATTTCATTCTCCACATTTTCGATCATCCGTAGTAAAGTCTCCCGTCTGTTGTTCAGTCTGGAGGCTCGTTCACTCTGTTGCCGCTCACCTAAGAAGAAAGAGTAGAAAACCGCCTCCTAGTTAGCTCAATGGATAGAGCGCTGGACTGTTGTGCGAGAGGTCGAGAGTTCGAGCCCCGGCCGGACCAACACTCAGGGTCTTAAAATAATTGAGAAGAATATGCTACCTTTCTATAACATCAAGAAATGGTTAGATATTCTAGTCTTCTCGGATAGGGACGAATAAATGGAGGTCCCGTCTCCTGCAGGGTTAGGGGCAGGAGACGTTAATTTCCCACGCACGAGATTACTGTGTGATGGATGTCCTCCCCTGGGGTGGGATGGGTGGTTAACAGGACCCCCGTTGATACCAGTGTTTACTACACTGAAGGGGCTATCCTGTATAAATATAGATGTCTAC